CCCATCCCTGTTGAGGTGTTTGCTCTTTAGGCCACTACCTAGCCCAGCTGTTTATCCAAACCCTAACAGACTGAACTCCCTGCCAAAATCCAGGCTGCAACACGAATTCAGATGCTCCAGACCTATTGCTGATAGGATGGAGACTATCATGCCTCTGTGGCCTTGCCCAGCTCTTGACCCTCCAGCAACACTTGGCAAGATCTAGTATCTCAAATCAAAGACAACCCCTTGCTACTACAGCCTTCCTAGGAGCACTCAGCCCCATTTTAGTGTACATATTCAAAACCTGTTCCGTGTACTGCCTGACTGCCCCTTCTCTCCTCTGCTCCCAACCCAGGGCTCGGCGTCCCTCACTGCAGCACCCAAGAGCCCGGCTCCCTGCAAGACCACAGCCCAAGACTCATCTCCAAGGCGGATCTAAGCTCAGACGGACTTTGCTTTCCCATCTTACTTCAGAAGTGGCTGAAACCTTGGGAGAACCAGCTCAGGAGAGGAAACCCTACAAGGAAAATAAGCCAAAGCTAGCCAGACTCGCAAAGGGAACCAGAGCTAGAAGAATTTGCAAGTAACTGCCCTCCTAAAAGCCTGACGGTCATCCGTAACCCATCTCAAAGCATCTCTGGCTCTCCATCTACATCTCACGCAGACTGAAACATCACCTCCTCAAATGCACCTGCTTTGCCGAGGAATAACGGGACAGGGGACAAAGCCTGGAGGAGCACCAGAGCGACCCAAAGCAAACCGCAAGCCAAGCGGTGCTGAGCTCCTGGGTAAGACAGGGATGATTTGCATTTATTTTAACTCATGCTCAGCGGAACATGACACCATCAAAGCTGCCTGTGTAGGTCCACACACTCCTTTATATACCCACAGGCACTTCCGAGCCCAGGCACGGTCTCCGTGCCCCAGCCCCGCTCAGGTTACAGGGTGCAGACAGCCAGGGTGTGCCGAGACACCTTCCCTCCGCTTGGCATTTGCATTGCCATGGCATTCTGTTGGGATGCCTGAGCAGGAGCTAGGAAAAGCACACAGACCTGGATCTGTACCTAAATTCCTCCCAGGTCCATCGCCAGGATCCTGGTACTCTGCTGGGGCTCCCCTCCAGAAGGGGAAGCAGATGTGGGCCTGCGAGAACCCCAGTAGCAGCTGAAGGGCATAGCAAGCTGGGAGCCAGTGGCTGTCACCCCGGCTCCACGGCTGCCCCCGGCTCATCATGGCACTGGCAGATCCCTGACCTAGTGACCATCGTGCCGTCGGGGACAGATCGAGGGCAGGGCACGGGGTCACAGCCACAGCGTGGTTTGCGTGCTTGCCGTATATTTTTAACACCGCTTTGACTCACAAGGCTCTAAAAAGCACACAGATTCTCCAAACGCTTTTCAGCTCTTCCACCGAACACCGCCGGAGCCCAGATTAGCCCCAACTACTCCCCTTTACAAACAGGTCCCTGTTGTAGCCTCCCCACAAAAGAGATCTGCATTTCCAGCCCGTGGGAGGAAAGTGAGAGCCAGACAGAGGAGGGGTGCAGAGCCGGAGCGGGGCAGCCGGTTTGTTTACAGGCATGGACCCAGCATGTGGAGAGGCTGCTGGAAGCCATCCCTCGCCCCGGGGGCGT